AAAATAAAATAAAAAGGTATATTACCAAGCGATAAGGCGACCACGTGTACATCAGATTACACCAGAAATCTTTCACTCGATCAACACGCTGTACAAGTGGGTCCATTTGTCGCTGGATTAGGAAATTGATATTACCGCTAATCTACATTAAATTATGTCTCCCGCCTGGCCTGGCCTTCCCCTTCTACGATGGGGCCTTTGCCTTTGACAAGGCTACATTGCAACATGTGCAACACTTGATCTACTTTTGCAAAACACTTGCAACATATGTCCGAAATAGCTGAAACACTTACAACATACGTCTGAAACACTTGCAAAAACACCAAAAAACTTGAAAACACGTGTGTAATCATTGCAAAAATATGCAAACATCTAGATGAAACACTTGCAACATACATATGAAAACACCTGAAACACTTGCCTATATATGCAATATCCAGATCTACTTTTGCAACATCCAAATAAAACACTTGCAACATACGTCTGAAACAGATGGAACATTTGGAACATACACTTGAAACATACGTGTATAGCCATGACAACATGTGCAACATCCCAATCGACTTTTGCAACATCAATATAAAACACTTGCAACATACCTCTGAAACATCTGAAAGACTTGAAACATACGCTTGCTACATGCGCTTTCAGCACAATGTCACCTTATTGCTTGGATGAATCGAGGTTAGTCGTCTTGTAGAGCTGGATGCCGGTGCGGAGATCGACGCCGGCGCGGAGTGGGGTGGTGCAGTGGGTGGGCGGGTGCAGTGCCCGCGGCGAGCGACCCCCACGCTAGAGAAGGCCGCGGCGGGCGGGTGCGATGCCCGCTCGCCCCTGCGCTGGAGAAAGGCCGCAAAGGAAGGGGATTGGGCGTCACCGGCCGGAGCGGGGCGTCGCAGGCGGTGCGCTGCGTCGTGGGCGCGGACGGGAGCGAGGGTCGCGGTTGGGGCGCGTACAAGCAGAAGCGAGCGGCCTGGACTGGCAAGCACGCCGTCCAGAGGGTTGGACGCCCCAAGGAGAGCATTACCGTTATCTTTGTCAACTCTTGGCTTGCATAGGTTTGTGCAATATCTTCTGTTCATAACATAACATATCATCTTTATTATTGTTCTTCACATATCACCCAGAAAGGGCTAGATGATATGATGGTAAGCTCGCATTGAATGGCTTAAGAAACTTGGAGGGGGAAAGAATATGCATTGTGAGTACGAGACTGATGAAACCTTTGCAAAAAATATATGTGATAGTCACTGTACTTAGCTGATGAAGTTAGCTTGATAGTGATATCTTCTGGGAATATATATAAACTTATCTAAGATGCGGCGGATCTTTTAGACGTATGAATGACTCCTGAGCAACCGTAAGACCTGGCCATGGGTTTGTTTTGAAAGATATTCCGAGTACATCCAAATATGGATAGCTGAGATTATTTTCTTTTTTTTTAGTTCTATAAGATCATTCTGCTACTCTGAATTAATTGTTCCGAACGCGAAGGTCCTGGAGATTTTAATTACCGAATGATTCCTGACCAACAAATTAGCAAGTAATGCATCACTAAACAAGTCGAAGGTGTAACTGTATCGACTTACGAATGAGAAAATTTTATAGCAGTTGTTTGATGCCTTGCTAAATTGTTGGGTAATAGTAATATTACTTATACGTTGCCCTACCATATGCTCATTTCCTGTGTGCTCCGTAACTTGTTTGGCGTCGACACCTATTGCCATTTGACTCTTATGGGAGATTCAAACTAATTGCGTGTTTGAGGCTCTCTGATGGGAGTGCATTGCAGCATCCTCTGATTAATAATAATTGTCTGTAAATGGTAGCTGTAGCATATTAGCTATCGTGGGTTCAAAAAAAAATTTAAAAGGTGCATTTCTATTTTATTTGGCAATTAGTGTTCAAAATGGACTAATTAGACTCAAAACGTTGTCTATTGATTCCCACCAAACTATCCTTTTTTTTAAAACATTTAATGCTCCATGCACGGCCGTAAACATTCGAATGATGATACTTGTAGCATTTTTAGGATTTTGGGTTGAAGCTGAAGAGAGCTTACTAAATCTTCAAAAAAATAGAAATGGTGCATTACTATATCGACCGAGTAAAAAGTCCCAATGATGTATTGATGATGGTTTTATCCTCATTAAATGAAAACACAGGCAAATCGTTGACATGGCGCGTAATTAATGAAGAAAGAAAGCAAAAATCTTAGAAATGGTTTTCTCATGAAGAAATCGTATTTTCTTGAGGATGCATCAAGAAAGATAAAATGCGGAGAGAAACCACCAAAAGAAATACCGCACTTTCATTGGAGGAACAAGATAGAGTTGGAAGAGAGAAAGAGAAAATAATTATTACTTATAGAAACTATAGGTGAGAAAACAGTACTTTTTTAGTGTGGTATCCTATATTACTAGTCTTTCGTTGGGACTGCCCTAATAGCAAGCGACGTGTACATCTGATTACGCCAGAAATCTTTCGCTCGATCAAACAGGCTGTACAAGTGGCTCCATTTGTCGCCGGATTAGAAAATCGATATACCACTAATCTGCATTAAACTATGTCTCCCGCCTGGCCTGGCCTTCCCCTTCTCCGATGGGGCCTTCTTTGCCTTTGACAGGGACGCGTTGCTTATAATACGTGGGTCATGAGTTGTCACGTTTGAGTGGAACCCATATCGGTTGGATGGAAGCAACGCTAACCACCCTCACGATAACACGACAAGCGCCTGTGATATTCTGGAGCCTCCCCTCATACAAATATATATAACCTGTAGACCCTCTCTGGATTCTTTTTTTTTTTACGTCATAGGGGAGTGTTTGGCTGCTATTATAAACCGGTTTATAAGTCATAGTATAGTATTTTTCTCTCCCAATAAATCAGTCGTACAGATCAGCACAAACGGCTTTACGAGCGGCCGAACAGAGCCTAAAATTCTACTATCAAAGTATTCTAGCTAAATCGTCACCGTGTGACATGTCACTGTAGCTCTGTTCGCTTCTTTTATAATCCGTCTTTTTCAGTTTGTTTTTTCAGCCAGCCGAAACATTATTTTTCTCTCACAACAAATCAGCTGGAACAGTATTTCGGCTTGTTTTTTCAGCGAAGCGAACAGGGCCTGTATGTCGTGGGGTCGGCGCGGCAGCAGCTGAGGGCGAGAGAAAGAGACCTCGCCGAATAAAACAGCTTGAATTCGACGGGTTGCGTATGCGTCCGAACAAACAGCGGGTGATTTGGTCTTATATTAATTACCGGCAGTAACTTGCTCGAGTGTGTAACCTGTCCCTTCTTCGCGAAGAAGGCGAAATCAGCATTGGCAAAATAGGTTCAGTTACCACGTTTATTTTAAGAAAAAAAATGCTGAGAGCTCTTTTTACCACGTTTGTACTGGTCACTGTCAGGACTCTCGAACTATTGTGGGGTAAAAGTTTGTCGCTTCTACCTACGATAAGTACGTCTCGGTAAATTAGGGCCAGGGTAGGGCAAATGAGGTCGATCTTAGTGTCCAGCGTCACGCGGCACGGGAGGTCGAGGTTCAAGTTTAGTGTCCAGCGTCAACATGGCGTTGACTGCATCAACCAGCATTTGCTTAACATCAGTTCCTCGTTCGACGCGACGGCCTCGAATCACATAATAAGCTTATTCGTCGAGTTGATCCTTTCTTCGAAATAGATAGGGAAGTTATCTGAATTCCAGTTATAAATTAACAATGAGAAATGATATAAATACACAAGTTACGATATTATGACGATCCAATCCAATCATGGAGTTGGCAAAGAGGGAGTAGTGTACGTTATATTTATATGCTACGTCGAATCAACCATTTTCATCGGGTAAAATGATTTTGAACCATAATAACACATAAAACATAATGGATTCTAGCCAAGACCGTTCGACGCGACTGGCCTAGAATCTTTTATCATAATGAACATGACTACGAGCAATAAAACAATAGAAATATGAATAAATGAGTTCAAATAACTTATATAAAGATTGTTGTACATAGAGGATGAGAAAATATAATTGGTTAATTCAGATTTAAAATAAATCATATTGGATTTTTAGACAATAAATGTATTTTATTATTTTTTTTCAATGAACGCAAGAGGATTGAATTTATCTTTTTTTATAGTAGTACTTCACCTGATTTCGTTGAAAATGAACGTCCTTATATAAGTTGGAGGTTGCGATCAATGAACACCATTGAAACTTTACTTGCAGTAGAGTTTCCGTCCTTATCAATCAAATTAAAAACAAATATACAATGCATTTCGGCCTGACCTAGCTAAACAACGCGCCTTATCATCTGCATAAAAGAATGGCTGCAATGCTGCATGCATGTTACTTGTGTGATCTGTGCCACCCTGTACCCTCCCCCCGTACTGTACTGAGCCTTGCTGTTCGATTCCCTTCCCCTCTCCTGCTCGATTAAGAATCTCCATCCACGTCGATCGGCATCTTTTTGCAATCTCTACTTTCATGTTCTCTCTAATAGCTAGCTAGCTGTTCATCTACTATCTTATTTGGGAGAAAGAACGAACGAAAAAGCAGCCATTGAACATGATTGGCGAATAAAATTGACTAGCTGAGCTCGCATGTGACCTTCTCTATAATTTAAGCTCGTTTGATCTTTCTCTACATGTTCCTGGATTACATGATCTGACAGCGACAACAAGGTTGGAAGATGTTGGGGAGAGAAAAATTCGTTTGCATGCATGATGATCGATGACGAGAAGAAAGAAGAAACTGCTTGATGGACAGACCTGGACTTTGATCTAAATTCGTTTGCATGCATGATGATGACGAGAAGAAAGAAGAAACTGCTTGATGGACAGACCTGGACTTTGATCTACTGAAGCTATGTACACCGTCGCTCTGGGGCTGGGGCTGACCTGATGACCCCTAAGAACTCGTATTCGTCCTTAATTACGTGCTTGGAACCGATCGAGTGACCCGCTTGTGATCGTCGTCGCATGATCTGACCTGACGATCGATCACTCACTGAGGGACTCGAATTCCCACCATTGCGAGCCGCTGCAGGTCTGCTCCGTCGTCGACGATGGCCAGCAGCTGGAGTGGAACTGGAACGGCTGGTGCTCCGGCGGCCCCGACGACGTGAAGCCTGCTGCGATCGTCTGCGGAGACGGCCGGAAGAGGGCTCCCACGTCGTCGTCCGTGAAGTGCGCGAACTTGCCACCGCCACCGCCACCGCCCTCGGACGAGTAGAGCGAGGCCCCAGCGGCGTCCGTTAATTCCTCCTTCATGCCGCCGACGCCCGAGCGCACGTCGTCCCCGGCGCCGGCGTCCGCATTGCCGCCGTACTTGCCCCGCGGCTCGTGCAGCATCTCCGCCAGCTTCTCCAGCTGCACGCAACGCATTCAAGAACCGATCGATCATTAGGAAAAGAAAATGAACTGGACATGTATGCATGATCATCTGAGAGCATATATGCAACGGATCAACACGGGGCGCGCGCGCGCGAACGAACGAGAGATGGGAGATGAGTGACGAGCTTGACATCGTCCTGACCTGCTTGAGGAGCGCGTGCTTCTCCTTCTTGAGGGACTCGTAGCTGCAGAGGAGCGTGTCGTAGTCGTCGCGGAGCGCGGAGTACTCGCGCTCCAGCTGCTTGGACTTCCAGCGCGCGCGCTTGTTCTGGAACCAGATGGCGACCTGGCGCGGCTGCAGGCCGAGCTCCCGCGCCAGCTGCAGCTTCTGCCGGGGCTCCAGCTTGGTCTGCGTCGCGAACATGGACTCCAGCGACTTGATCTGCTCCTCGCTGAAGCGCTTCTTGTTCTTGTCCAGCGCGCCGCCGCCGCCTTTTCCTCCCTTCCCTCCGGCCCCGCCGCCCACCTCCATCATCCACTCCGGCACGTCGTCCTCGCCGTCCATGGCCGCGCACGCACGCACGCCTCTCGGATCACGAGCTCACTTCCTCAGCTAGAGCTAGTACTAGTAGTGTTGCCTGGCTAGCTCGCTGAGGCGGAGGAGGAGGAGGAGGAAGGGAGGCAGCAGCCCGATCGATCACAGGCGAGGCGAGCTGGGCGATCGACTAGTTTAATCGGCGTGATGGCAACGGCGTGGCCAATGGAGCGCGGTGGCGTGCGCGCGCGGCCTGTCCCTCTCCAGTCTCCCCCCGGGTCTCTATAGCTAGCTAGCGAGCGCTGTGCCGCGCGGCCCCGCCCGCGTCGCTGTCGCGGGGAAGACAGAGGCCGGGAATTCGCTCCCGATCCCTATCCTCGGGGGTGTTAAAAACTAAACATAAGTCTAATTAAGCTTAATAGATTCGTCTAGTAAATTAGTTGTAATTTCTACAATTAGTTTTATAATTAGTATACTTTTAATACTCAATGTATATATCAAATATTCGATATGACATAAACTTAGGGTGTTTGAATCCAAGGACTAAAGTTTAGTAGATGTCACATCGAATATTTAGATACTAATTAGAAAGACTAAACATGAGTCTAATTAGACTTAATAGATTCGTCTAGTAAATTATTCTCCATTTGTGTAATTAATTCTATAATTAATCTACTTTTGATACTTTATCAATATGTCAAATATTTGATATGATATGGACTAAATTTTAGGAGATGACCAAAACCCTGTCCAACGACGGAGCCAGAGCCAGCGCCAGCTCGCATGCCGGTGGCGGGCCACGTATATGTCGGCGCCTGATTCGCGCGGCGTAGGCTTTTACCAGTGCACATGTGAGGCAGCCAGCCCAGCCACGTATATGTCGGCGCCCGCGCCGCGCGGCGATTTTTACCGGTGCCGAGGTGCGTGTGCGAGCAAGTGGTGGTGCTTGTTACGGCGCCGCGCGCGGGTGGGGCGTGCCGCTGCCACCTTGTTGGCAGGGGCGCCGACCCGGTTGGTGCGGAGGGAGACGTGCGTACGGGCGCGGCGGGGCAGGATAAGGTTAAAAAACTGCCCGCGTGGCGTCGCGTTCCTGCGCTGCGTTGCGCTTGCGTGCTCCGTTCGGCAGCAAAGTCTGACACCGCCCTTCCGAGTCCCTGACCGGCTAGTTGGCTCTCGTTGATCCCTTCCCGGTTACTATCTTATCAAGTTGAGTATTATGCCATCGATGGTGGCCCCTCAGATTTTCGTTCTTGATGTCTTGATTCCAAAAATTTTACATAAGACCATTACATTAAATTTTACGGCGCATATCGCATTGAAAGATTAAATATGGCGAAAAAAAAAATTAATTGCACAGTTAAGTGAGAAATCGCGAAACGAAACTTTTAAACTAATTAATTAGACACTAATTATCAAATACAAACGAAAGTGCTACAGTAGAAAAAATCAAAAAAAATTTGGATCTAAACGGAGCCTAAGTTACCTATCGTGGACTGACTGACAAGGGCACACAGATAGAAAGGCCTTTCGCCGCAGTTTGCAAATGGACTCGATGCATAGGAAATTACGTTCAGGTGCAACGTCGGACTGGGTGGGCTAAGTACGCGCGTAGAGGCTACAGGTTTTCTGTTCATGTGGGTCTAGATTTCCCTGTCGTTTCATTAGACAGCTAAGAATTTGTTCAGTGCCGGGCCGGGTCTTTATATATGTAGTTTAGGGTCTACGTTTGAACGTGGCTTTAATTGTGTAAGACGAATTTAAGTTCGGACAGGGCCGGCGCTGATCAGATGAGCTCGTGCTCGTCCAAACTTTATCGGCTTAGTACTTATCCCATCGTTTTCGACTTTTCGTCGGGCAAATAAGCGAAACTCGACCGGAGCCGATAGATAGCGGCGAACAAGAACCTACCCGACATGAATGCCGCCGCACGGCGTGGAGACTGTTCACGGGGGGCCTCCTGCTACGCTACGCTACAGCGCGCCGATCGATCGGCATCGGCTGGCCGCGTGGTGCTGGACTGCTGGTGATATCATGCGAGGCATGGCCCGCCGGGACGAGAGGGGCAGCCGGGCAGGCAGCGCCGCAGCGGGTGGCCAGCGAACGAACGAGAGGCGAGGAATCGGCCACGGCCAGCGACACGTACTACCGCTACAGTGCCTCGGCATGGCCCCTGGCCCTGGCCCTCTCTCGATCGATGGATGGATCGACGCCCGCCGCGAGCGCGGGCGCGGAATCGACAAGGGCGGAAGGGCCAATGGCTACCGAATATCTCCGGTCCCCGACTGGCTTCTTCACTGAACCGTATGGCTGGCGAGATACGTATATCATCATAATTCATACATACATAGTTTCATACATGCCGCCATGTGTTGTTACTGCAACAAGTACTACGGCCTGTCTCTGTGTTTTTAAAAAGAAAAAAAGAAAAAAGAAAAACCGATGAGTAGATTTGCTTGGCATATATTGGTAGAGAAGAATATAAACTGACAACCGCCACCGTGCTTGTCTGCACGGTGAATTGGAAATGTAAATCTGCTGCTAAGTAGGGCAGGTAAACGATCAAGACCGACCGATCCCTTTTTACTGCGTGAAGAGGAAGACTTTTCTTTTTTCTTTTGTTTCTTTTGTCTGTGGTGGACGGACGTCGTGATCCTTTCGGACAAGCAGCGTAGATATATATGGTTTCTTCGACCAGGACAAGCCCTGGGATGAACAGCAACAGTCAACGCGGGCTCCGCTCCGCACAGGCGGATCGACGGGGACAATCTGCGGTTGACTCGTCCGTGATCTCATCGCCATCACTCGAGCACGCCAAGCCTTCAGGGAGGGAAGAGGACGATCATGGCGAACACTGAACAGTGCTGCCTGTACCTGAACCCCCCATGACCGACGCTGAAGGCTGAACAAATATGTTGTGATTCGTCGAAACCGGTGACTCCAGCACAGCGCCATGATCAAGGGTCATGGAGCTTTTCTATGCTTTGCTTGATCCGAGGATCACAGAGATTACTACTTGTACTAGCTAGTAGCTAGCTAAGCCAAGAGCTTTCTGGTCGCTCGCTTGTCATGATCAGGCACTGCTCATCGTCATAGGATCCATTACCTGACGGCAGCCTGATGGATAGGCATAGATCCAAGAGCATGACACCATTTGAGGAGCATTTCAACGACAGGTAATGGCTAAGCTAAGGTCCATTCTCAGCGATCAGGTAATAAGCTAATCGTCTGATGTAGCCGCCGCGTCGAGGTCAAAGCCCCGTCAACTGCCTGCACATTACCTGATCGCTGAGGCTAGCATGATCTCACTACCTGAGAAATTAGACTTGTCATTGAAACCAGATACAATGGGCACTTTCGCCGTGTTCTCATCTCGACTTGACACACAAATGAAATTAAATTATAGATGGTGTTGCCAATCGTCAGAACAAAAAAATAAGCACGGGCTGTCGAGCACCTCTGCTGTGAGCAGTCACAGGTTCATAGATGCAAAATCTGGGCTACACTTTTGCATCTTTTGGCCAACAGAACAAGCAGTCCAGCACCTTAAGCTCCAGAAATATAAACCTGACAAGCCAGGTGGCGGTCTGCCACTTGGGATGGCGCAGCTCGCGCATGTATGTTGAACTCTATCTTCTACTTATTAATACAAGCCGGTATAACCGGATCTTTCAAAAAAAAAAGAAATATAAACCGGAAAACAAAAGCAGCACAGCAGCTCAGAGGAGCTGTGAACATAAGCAGCAACAGGACCGACATTGTCAAGTACGATACCACATACTTCGGTTCCACAAGACGACAAAAGTTTCAAAGGTGAAATCAAAGTTTACGATGACCCTACCAGATTTAGCTGCAAACAGAAGCACGCAGCCAAGTTTATTTTTCTTCTGGAGGTTCAGCTCCCTTAGTACTCGATTTCCCAGCGACGCTGGTAAATGGCAACAGCCTCCTGGGTGACATTAGGGCAACCTGACAAATTGATTCTCTTCAGGTTGGGCAAGGTTGATGCATGTAAGATAGCCAGTAACCTATCAGTGATCAAGGGGCACTCCATTAAACTAAACTCCTCAAGTTGGTGAAATCCTACAAGCATAAGAATCCTGATTTGGACATCGCTGATTTGAATATGATTGAAGGTCAACTTGATTAGATTGGGGCAAGACTCTCTGAGACGCACGACAAAGTTGCCCCGGATGTTCGGGCATTCACCCAATATAAGTTCCTGCAGAGCTCCCTGGCATGATTGAGCTACAATGCAAACATGCCTGTCTGTCAAATGGTAGGATTGCAGTTCAACCTTTGTGATCCCATTGCTGTGCAGGATGCCACTTAAAATGAGTTCCATATGAGAAGCCTGACCACGTGCTGGAAAGCCAACGAGCCTAAGCTCCTTAAGCCCACGACACACCATGTTGACCCATAATAAGAAGAGCTCCATAGTTCTCTCACAGTGCTCCATACTGATCACCTTCAGCTTGGGACACTCACAGGCCACAGCTTCATCAAGATAGTGTGGCATCATCATGCCAAAATCACATGAATCCATAATCATTGATTCAATTGTACTGCTGATCAAGGACATAACTTCTATTGCAGCTTTATATGTAAAAAATAGGAACCTGACAAGTTTAATGGTCTTAAGCTTAGCGGGATTCATGGCATTGCCCAACAGCCACTTCAAGCCAAGTTCTGTCACTCCCCTGCAGTCATCAATTACCAAATGTCGTAGCAATCGAAAGTGAATTCTAGCAAAGTTAAGCATGCCCAGGTTCCGTAAACCTGGGCATTTCACCAGGATGAGGCTAGAGAGCTGGCGAAATAAGCATAATTGATGGAGGGCTGATGATTGTCTAGCAAAATTTATATGTGATTCTCCAGTCATCATGCCCTTGAGCTCAAGCTTGTCCAGATAAGGTTGGTTCATCAGTAAGGACAAGATGGCATCTTGCCCAATTTGAGGGCAGCTTCCCAGAGTAAGAGACTCAAGTCTCTTGGCATACTGCACAAGGGCTCTTAGAGACGCCTCAGTTATG